TAGTCCTTGGTACAAGAACTTCCAGAGTGGGACTTGCAAAGGATCCATGCCTTCGATGTCTTTGTGGCTGGAGAACCGACTTTAACGGATTTTGCAAGGAAAATCCAAACCATTCACCTTGTTGGAGTCGTGAAAGTCGACGTCCGGTTTCCATAGTTCCACAGGTGGAATTTCAATGGGGCGACAAGTGTAGCCTTCTCGAATTGGAAAACTTCCCAAAGGTGATGCCATAGGCCTCGGCGATCTCGGGGTGAGGTTGTGTCGTTGAGGTGTAAGATTTGTATGATCAGGAGGTGTTTGTAAAAAGGTCGGCGGTGTAGGTGGAAATGTTGAGTGTGATGCCGTCGGAGTCCAAGTTGGGCGTGATGAGAACGATGAGGTCAATGGTGGCGGAGGAGGTACTCCAGCAGGATGCCAAAAGGGCCGAGGGGTCGTCATTGCATAGTGCATGGGTCCACGAAACGTAGGTACCGGTTGATGCCAATCTTGGTGAGGTCGTCAAGGGGTACGTGAACGGTCAGGTTGCGCAGCAGGGACACCACTCGAGTCTTGACTGAATTGGGAGATCAGGTCTTGGGACGCCATGGTGTAGACGACAATCACAGGGTTCTCGGGGGAGGATAATAGCAATAAGCCAGCTTAAAAGTGCGGGAAGTGTCAAAATACAAATCGGCGAGGGGCATCAGCCCAACTGTGCATGACAATCACTGTGGGGTGAATGGCTTAGCCCCAGCCATTTTCGGTGTACAGACATTAACGTATCTCAATATATCTGAGCGCGGTTGGTGTGAGTTTGTTTCATGGGGTGATCGGCTTAGCCCCAGCCATTCAAACAAGTACTGCCCAATGAATAAATAAATAAAAAGGAAGCTGATGAGCTCGCAGTCGGCAAATCAAACGAATTTTGACGGAAGAAGTGGCGATGAATACCGAAGGGTCGGGAGAAGCATTGTTACTCCAAAATGATCGGTCGGGGCCACTTGGCTCAAGAGTGCTCTTCAGAAGTGCTCCTCATTGGTGTAGTGCTTACCAGCGGGATCTGTAGGAATCGCGTGTGGAATTGTAGTGTCGGGAGTAACCTTCGCGATGATGATCTCGAGAGCGACCTTCACGGTAAGAAGAATAATTGCCTCGATGGACAGGTGTGGAGTCGTCCCATGTTGAGGTATTGTCCCAGTAGTGGCGTCTGTGGTCTGGGGCTGTGTGATCAGAGGTCTCATGGTGTGTAGAGGCTGTTCTGGTGTGGGTTGTCGATGGTGGATTTGAAGCCGCAGGTGTATACTGGTAGTAGTGGTGGTCGGTACAGGTGGTCCATGATCAGGAGGTGGGCTTTGAGGTGGTTCGCTGGGTGCCGTGGTCGCTGATGTGCGTGCTGTAGGTTGGATTCGGGTGATCAGCCTGTCGAAAACCGAGTGAGTAGAGGCGACGATACCGAAGCGCAACTGGAGTTCATTGCCGTTGCACCGTCTTTGCCTCTGGCGATGCCTTGAATAGCACACAGGCGTTGGATTTGGTCGTTCTAGCAGATTGGGCCCTCATGCATTTTGGGGAACGACAAATGGCCAAAAGGCCTGATGGGTTTTGTCCTTTGCCAATCTTGTAGAGTTGGGAAGTGCATAACTTGACTGAATACGCTGGCAGCTCATCGATGTCGGCAATCTCAGATGACATGCCAAAGAATCCGTAGCAAGGGTACTGGGTTGGTATGCCAGCCTCGTTTTTTGTCCAGCTAGCTGGGCGGATGCAATCTTCAGCCAGAATTTTGGCAACTGATTCCCAACTCGTTTTGTGGTAGCTGAGGTAAGTGCCTGCATGTTCCCCACGATAGATAGCTTTTTTGGGTAAGCCCGTTGGTACCGTGATGGTCAGCAGGTTTTCCGGTTCCACATAGAAGCTCTGTGTTTTCCTTGCAAGATTGACATCAAGGAGTCGTGCCTGTGCGAATGCCCGAGCGATGTTCATGACCGTGGCCTGACTCGCTTTGATGTAAATGAGCTCGTTGTTGATTGTACGATAAGGTTTGGCCAACTGGTTGAACATCTCGTCAACGAAATTGTTGAATAAGAGTTTGGTGGGGTGGTCGAGCTCCATTCGAATAGACACTGTATGATCACTGCCCAGTTCGGTGATGCATCGTGTTCGATTTGGATCTTCCGCTGCCGAAACAAGTTCGTCGATGTCGATGTCATTCTTGTCGAATTGTGAGATTGAATATGCCTCTGCTGCGTCCGATGTTTCGCTGTCGCCATCTGGGAGACTATAGGCAACGGCTCCCAGTGGTGCTGTTGCGGGTGCCTGTGGGTTTGAAGGTGGATCAGAAGGTGGTGGTCCCGGCGGGGATCTGGGTCGATAAGTGTCACGACGATGGTCTTGACTGTTGTTCCAATTTCCCCAAGTGTCATCAGCGTCTGGTGTGGGAATGAGATCTGGGTCCGAAGGACGTGCTGCTGGTGTAAGTACAACTTCATGGCTTTGAGGATGACGGAGAGGAGTTCTGGAGCGTGGTGTAGGGTTCGATCGGTGGCGTCGATGAGGTAGTGGTGAACGTCGTCGAGGTGGTGATCTTCTGCGGTAAGGGGAAGGTGTTCGGCGATCTTTTGGATGTTTGGTTGTGGAGCGATGCCGTGGAAGGGGAGAACGAGGTCGATCTGGACGATGACGAGGAGGATGTCGGCGATGAGAGTCCCGAGGCGATTGAGGGGAGCGTGATCTTCTTGTCCTTGATCGGGGTCGTCGCGATGGTGATGTCGAGGGAATCGGAATGGGTGCAGGTGGAGCCGTAGAGGTATTGTGGTCCGGAGTTGCAGGTTCAATGGGTCTGGCTGTCGGTGCAGGGGGAGGTACCGGGGGTGGTGGTGTCGATGTGGACAATGGCGTTGGAGGAGTAGGGGCGGTTGGTGGTAGGTCTTGACGAAGTTGAAGTTGTTGTTGTCGTTGTTCATGGAGGCGTTGGGAATCAAGTATCATCTGCTGTTGAGCCTGGATAATACGGACCGATTCCGCGAGTTGTTGAGTCGTAGAGCCCAATGTTGCCAAGTCTTGTTGTACTGAAGGTGTAGCCGATGGAGCTGAAGGAGCATCAATAGTTGGGTTCGGAGGAGCCGTTGGAGCCGAGTGGCGTGTTTTCTCAGGTTTCTTCTCGGAGCGAATCTTTGGAGCTGCTTTTAATGCTGTTTGTCGGGGAGTAGCTGGAGGAGGTGTTGATGTCGCGGTAGCCACTGGTTGAGGTTGATGGACACGAGGTGGGTAAGGTGAGCTTGGTAGTGGTACAGGTGGTGCTGCCGGTTCATGAGCTGGAGCAGGAGCAGTTGGCCATGCTGTCGAGAATGTTGGTCCGGTGGGAGTCGCAAAGGTGGGTGTGACGGAGTGGAAGGTAGTCGAATCTGAGCCCAATGTTGGAGTTGTAGAAGGGACAAGGTGTTGAGCTGGCACTGGATGGGGGGCCGTTGCAAGTGAAGTGAATGACGGTGGTGGTGTAGCGTGAGTTGTCGCTTGGAATGAGGTCGTAGAAGGCCACGCAGGATGTAATGCTGAGGGTTGTCCAAATAAATGTTCCACTGAAGTCGGCGCGGTTCCGAGCATGTGAGGTTGACTGATCGAATACTGATGTGGATCAATAGGGTATCCAGGGTGAGGAGCTGAGGAGGAAGATGGTGCTGTCGTTGGCCATGTCATAGGTGGTCTGGAGGTAGATGCAATAGAGGGTGGTTGTGGAGGCCACGTCGAAGATGTAGTCGCAGGCTGCGGCGAAGTAGGCCAGGACGTCGGAGGAGTAGTCCACGGAACATAGCTCGAATAGAGAGAAATTTGGTTGAAAATGTCACAAACAGGATTCAGTTCCTAAAACCTAGAAGTCGTGCGTTGTGCCACTCCAGGCCCGTGTTCAGGTCAGCCACAATAGGCATAAACGGCTTTCAAGTTCCAGCGAATTAGGTGCACAATATGTTTGACCTCACCAGAGAACCATCAAAAGAAAGAAGACCACACCTAAAGATCGTGTACCTGCCTGCGTTCTGTCTCATGTAATGTAACTGCAAAGGTTGCGGCGAAAGAAGGAGGTTTCTGAATGGTCAGAACAGCTTCAAAGATGAAGAAACGCGTCGGCGAGGAATCCCTGGGACCACAGGAGCCGCGGGACTTCGTCAAAGGCACAAAACGGTAAGGCCATCTGTTGCACATTACTTAAACGAATTACTAATTCAAAAGTGTAAATTCGGAAGTCAATTCAGTCGACATTGACCTCAACTGGGGTTGCCTCAATTGGCCCTATGGCACCATGTCGGAGTCACCATAGGAATCACACTAGACAAGAATGGATCATTTGAGTGATCCGGCAGGAACTGAATCCTGAAACATGCAGATTAGATAGGAAACAAAGAAATCAACGATGCATCTTCAAATAATAGAAGTTCTCCTGCATGGTCTCCATGTCCAAAAACGTCATCAAAATACATTGGCGACATGATATTGACGAAAAAATCCAAATACAATCGGCGATGTGGTTTCGGCGAAATGAGCAAAATACATCGGCGACATGGTTTCAGCGAAAATACAGATTGTGGCAACCGTGAAGAAATAAAATTGACTTGGAGGTTCTTGGGTTGAGCCTCTTCCCATCACCAGACATTGACAATTGAATGGAAGCAAACCCTGAACAACAGGTAGTCACAACAATGCAGGTACACCAGGGTGATCAGCCCCGGCTTCCACCATCATGCATAGCTTCGTTGGCATGCGTTTGCATGATGGCCGCATGCCCCCTGCATAAACAAAAAACGAACAAACGTCGAAGTTTTACATCTCTACAGATGAGTCACACACACACAAAAGATGCAATCCGTATTGCACGTATGCGTATGCATTTAGCTGTGCTTGCTACGTGGCCTTACAATGGTCTCACAAGTTGCTGTGGTGGTTTTGACGTTTCTTTCCAGAGCTTTTCCATACCAAACATGTTTTTTTCCTGTTTGGATACAACCAGCACTTGATGCTCGCGGCAGGGTTCAGACCGATGGTAGACGTGTGGTCACAGCTCATTGCGATAGTGGCTTGGAATGCATCAATTGCTGCTGAGATCTGCTGAGCTACATTCGACACGTTCGACACGTTCGACACAGTGTGGCAATGGACAATTTCAGGATTTACATTTTTTGGATGGCCATTGGATGGCCATTCGCCAGAAACCAAACTGGGTTTTGCATGGAACGCACAAAGATGACAAAACTAGATGCTGGCTGCTGGTTGAGGGGTGCACAAGCGGATTCACGAAGGAAGTTGAGACTAGGCACCACCTTTTAGGATTTTGTTTAATGCAGGGGCCCCAGACCAAAACAGGTCACTGCCATGCCATTACCTGGGGTCATCTGGGGTCACATTATCAGTTGCATGGGGAAAACAAGTCCATGAGGGGTTCATCCCAGATCGAAGCCATGAACATCAGGTTCTGGAGAGGACATATACAGAAGGTTTGGCAAATCAGCAGCATAAGCAGAAGTTATAAGATGTGCCCATTCTTTTCGTGTTGCTAATGCTCATCTGAAACCGTGGTGAAATGACCAACACTCATGGCCGATTCGCTTCCACAGGTACTTACAAGCAAAGAACTGCTTCGTAACACAACTATTCCATACTATATAAACTATTTTTTCTTAACCGAGACACTCCAGTTTTAGACCTTATCAAACTATAAGATGTACCTTAATTGAGATGCATATCAATCATAATATAAGTATATATATATATAATTATATAGTTATAGTATGTTATAGTTTCCAAGTTACCCAACAACCCAACATCCTCAAACCTCCATCAATCCCAAGCGAGCAGCTGCAGGTTTCATCTTCTGGGACTTGGCCTCAGCGCTTCCCACGCGTATCCTGCGCGAGGCCACGACCCCAAGGAAGGCCGCAGCGGCAGTGACGTGCCTGGCGTTCTCCCGGGATGGCCATATGTTGGCTGCTGGAAGCTGGGATGGAGGGATGGGATGGTGGGATGGCCACGTTGGGAGTAAAAAGGGATCCCAAGATGTCAAGTTTGATATATCCCCAAGATTTGTTGCTTTTTTTTGGCATATCATGGTATATCCCATTATATTCCGATGTTTGTTGGTTATATCCACATCTTAATAACTCATGGTTGCTGATTGGATCCCACCATCCACTGCTGGTTGTTCCAGGTGGATGAAGGGGAGGTGGAACCAAGGTACCCGGCACGTTTCTGGACAACTAAGTTTTTTTTCTGCAAAATTTACCAGGAAACCTAATCTACATAGACCATAAGAGTTTCCTTCATGGTTGGCTGAAAAATCACCATTTAATAAATCATGTGGAATAGAGGCACAGTCCGCAAAACCAACTCCATGATGATCGTTAAACCCCGATTGTATTTCTGGGGTGCTATTAAGCCTTCAGAAAAACATCATTGGTTGGTGGATTTGTTACGTCATAGTGGTTGGCCAACAGGTATCCTCGTCATTGTTGAAGATCAACATATTCATGTTTAGCTCCACTAAACCATGTTAAATTTGGCAGTCATGGATTGTCCACTAAACCATGTTAAATCTGGTAAGATGTTGGTTTCCAGTTACCAAGTTCATAGGTTTTTTTTTCAGATTGAACTGATCACCCCTAAATCAGGGACATTATACATCCCCCATTTGGCAGCAACTGGTCAACAAGCCTGGTCAACAAGCCTCCAAGAACTCAGTCATGTCCCTTTGAATTGGATTCTAACCCAACAGTTGCAGGAACGAGCTACTGAGTGAGATGATCCTGCAAGTTCCAGTTTATAGGACCTATAATTTTATAGGTGGATATGTATAGATATGTAACATCATGGAGATTATATCGCTGGTTCTGTCACCATGGTGATACTGTAGATACCCGTGAAAATTAAACCCAATTGCATCCCAGAGTGACAACAACACTTTATCACTATTTTAGTATTGGATTTGATATGCCTTTTCCAAAATCGGCCATTCTTTTGGTGGTTGAATAGCAACCAACCACCTACAGCTGTTCATCCTCAGTTACCCAAGCCCTGAATCCCTGAAGCCCTGAAGCCTAGGCCACGCCGATGGCAGGTTGACTCTGCTGGACCTCCGCGCGCTGCGCACGGGCGAGAAAGGCGCCTCCTCGACCCATGCGGCGCACCGAGGTGCAGTGCAGGCGCTGTGCTGGAGCAAGGCGAAGACCAAGCAAAACAACGAGACTTGGCGGTCCAGAGATGTTGGGTAGAAAAAACAATCCATGGATAGTTTTTTTTTTGCAAATCGGTAGGCATGGATTTGTAAATGGAAATGGATAGAAACCATTAGAAACCCACATTGGGGCTGAAACTCATGAATCACTGACATATTGGCTGGGTTTCAGCCACGGTTTGGATTTGAAACGAAGTTGCAGAACGGGAAGTGCTGGCACCTGCATTTGGGCCAAACTGGACCCCAGAAGAGCGGTTGACAATCCAAGTTAATCATGTTTCTTGGGGATCTTAAGGTTTATTCTGCGATCTTTATAAATGCTTATTAGTGTAAGGATGTAGAAGTATAAGGCAGATTAGGGACTTCCGGAGTTTGTATTGCCAATGTTTTCCATGTGTCATGGCCAAGGATGTGCTCTTCTCATCCTCCGGATCTCACTTGCTGATGCGGGAACTCTCTGGGTTTCACGGCTGCAAAGGCCCGGCTCCGGATTGGGTCAAGGCAGATGATCCACGAGGGTATGGGTGATCAATGGCACAGCCAATTTCACAAACCATCCCGAAATGATTTGTCGTTTTATCATTGGAGCATACTAATTATCATAAACCCATGAACTCGGAGATTTTGAGGTGATTTCTTACAGTAGATAGTTCCATCCATTTTGAATGGCCGATAGCTTTCACTGTTCAGGTCCGGAGTGGTGATTTCTTCGGGTGAGCCATGTGGCTTTCGTGGTTATTCAGGTAGGTTATAATATACCCATGGAACGGGGCCCGACCATACACTTGCACCAGAATTGGATGATGGTAAAATTCACAAGAACCCTCCAAAAATGATAGTGATAATTAAGTGATAAACAATAACCATGGTTTCCTGTATATAGATTTTGCCTTAAAACCATCCACGGATCCACTTGAAGTTTGTGGCTACACGTACTCAAGAAGTGATGTATTCTTTCTATTCAGAAATCTGGAAGGAATCAAGAACCGCATCCATGGAATGTACTAGAAACAATCAGGCATCCCAACATATTCCAAACTGTGCGCAGTGATTTCATTTCAATACATCCATCCTTACCTGCGATGATGATCCCCCAGTGGCTCTCCTATTTTTCCATGTTTTTCACCACCACAGTCATCCACGCAGGAACAGGTTCACAAGTTTCCCCATCGGGGACCCAGGTTTCGCCAAGTTCAGAAAACCGATGTCAAGCTCGCCATGGACCACGTGCTTTGCTGCCACGCGACCGTCGGGCATACCTTGGTCCTAGGGACATCACTCTGAGGATTATCCTGAGAATTTGAACTTGAAAAACTACAACGATGGGCCCCCTACAAAACATACTGGGGTTTGAAACTTTTTTTTGACTTGTGGAAAAACCTAATGATGTGGCGTATAAAATTGTTTAAATATACTGGGGGCCATTCACTGCAGGGTGAACAATTCTGGGCAGAAATCAGGTGCGATTCCTGGGATGATCCAAAGTGAATCATGGAAAATTTTGAGCCAAAGAAGCCTTCAAAGCCTTGGGTCTCCGTGTGAGCAGTGGCAAAAATGCGTTCGCAGGATATGGCCGGCCCGTGTGCAGCCGGAAACAAAGATCCGGTCATCAAAGGTGGTGAGCTGGACCCCGAACGAAACGGAGGTTAGCTTGGAAAATCATCGAACTATTTCTGGAGGGTTTTCCATTGCTAAAGCCGTACCCCAAAGGATCAGCAGCTCAGGGTCTGATCGATCGCAGGAGGATCTTCAAACTGCTGAACGACCCTTCGTCGGGCTGTGCTGCGCAGTACCGGACCCAGATTGCAATCACCTGCTGGTGGGTTGTTGACTTGAAACTAGCCATGTGAAGTTCCGTGTTTTTATCTGAGCCGAGCCCGCTAGAGATTTTCACCAGTCCTTGGGTTCCACTTCTTAGCCATGGGACACCGATTCAAGACGAAAATTCAGCAACGTCTGCATGTTCTGAAGAGTCAAACTGAAACATCCTGGAACAAATTTCAACTAACATCAACCAACCGTAACTAATATATATAATGTACGTATAATATATATACCATACATAAATAAATAAATTGATAAATGAATGAATAGATATAATAAACACCATATATTTTATACAAACTCAAATAGATATAACTATAAATAAATACATAACTAAAAATAGATAAATAAATAAATAAACAAATACATAAATAAATAAATAGATAAATATATATATATATGTATACATACATGGATGGTGTTTTTGATCCAGAAAAAACTCGATGAACCCCAAAAAAACATCGCCCAGGTGGGCCTCATATTTGTTGACCTCTGTGATCCTCCTCACTGCCGTGGGACTGCTCAGGGATCCCGGCGAAGACACCTGGGATGATTTGTGGATGTGGGATACCAGGGGCTACCAATGGCTACCATATTTTCAGACCTGGATGTCAGGGAATTGCCAGTTTTTTTTTTGAGATCTTGGTTTTTGGAGGCCCATACTTTGAAGATCTTTGAAGTTTGGAAGATGATCGCACCCTGGCTCACCCCTTTTCCGGCGCCCACATGGGTTCAAAAGCCGCAAGTTTCCAGGGAATATTTGAGGAATAAACACCGTTCACTACAAGGTGGTGCCCCCTAGATAGCTAAGTTGGTTTATAACTCCAATAACTATGGTTTATGGTAGATATATCTATAGTTAATGGGGTTTATAAACCAACTTATAACTGGGGGGCACCACCTTGTACCAATCTACCAATCTACCAGCAACATGTTGGTGACTGTGGACAGTTCACCTCGCCAGATCACGATGCTCTTGGAATCGATGCCAGAATTCAGCACGACACCAGATGCATGTCGCTCGCCGTGGGAACGGCGCCCAGGTCTTTCCGAGTGATGGGCAAATAGGTACCCTCCAAAATCAACCATGGCTGGAAAATCCACGAAATGTAGGTTTTCATGGGAGAATCATCGAACTAAATTTATGGGAATTTTCCATTGCCATGTTTGATTACCAGAGGGATCCAGGTTGTGTATGAGCATGAAACATGAGGAATGATGAGACTCAACAAATGGGGATGTCACCTGTTGGAAATTGGAGGTTGTTCCACGAACACAGACCATGGACAGTGTTCGGCTGGGCCGCAGGAGGTTCATCATGTAAGAATCATATAGCCATCCCAAGAAAAACTGATCATAAGATATAATGATAAGTATAAATCACCATCAAGACAATAGGCGAATACGAGTTCTATCTTTGTGTTGGGGGGACTTACTTTAAGCTATCCTTTGACCATAGTTTATGTGGGCTGCATCCCAACTTTTATTCAGAAAGATAACCCGAACTGCAGTTCTACTTTCATCCACAAATCCCATTAACTAGTGTGATATATGTACCATAGACCCAACAGTCATGTTAGTTATCTAACAACTATGTTCATTATTTATTTAAATTTACTTAA